GCCACAAGGTCTCCCACTGTTGCTCAGGCTGGAGTGCAGCAGGGCGATCTTGGCTCACTCCTACCTCCACCTCCTGGGTTTAAATGATGTGAGACCCCAATTCTAAAACAAAAGGAAAAAAAACCTCAGGCCGCAGCAGCCCAACTCTAAAACAAAACATGAAAACCTTAGGCCAGGGTCTTAAGTACTAGGGATCACATTCCTTATGTATTTCCCCTCATTTTCATGGCCAAATTCTGCTTTTTTCTTAGAACTCAATCTGTAGAATCAGTTGTCAATTCAAAAGGTTAATGCCAAGGCATAAAAACGTACTTCAACATGCATAAAATGTGAAATTCTATTCTTGTCAACCTCCCTTGTACCTTTGTAGAATTTTGATTGGTGAAACTTAATAAACTATATATTACATAAATGATGCCCATGAATAACATCTAAGCTCTAGGACCGAGACAGCTTTGATGTTTGTTGCTCAAGCCAAACGGCCCGAGGTCCTTAGAAGGGAAGGCAATTCTTTTTTTTTTGAGACTGAGTCTCTCTCTGTTGCCCAGGCTACAGTGCAATGGCACGATCTCAGGTCACTGCAACCTCCATACAAGCGATTCTCTTGCCTTAGCCTCCTGAGTAGCTGGGACTACTGGCACAAGCCACCACGCCCCGTTAATCTTTGTATTTTTAGTAGAGACGTTGTTTCACCATGTTGGCCAGGATGGTCTCGATCTCTTGACCTCCTAATCTGCCCGCCTTGGCCTCCCATAGTGCTGAGATGACGAGCGTGCACCACAGCACCCAGCCGAGAAGGCAATTCTGAAATAACCTACTCTGGGCTGCAGACTTTAAGTGGCTGGGCCATACAGAAGGAAATATAAGTGTCTCTTAAATTGTCCCAGGTTTGTGAAATCTCTGACAATATTTCTTGGAGATGCTGCTTTAAGAATTTTGTTAAGATTCTTCTTTAGAAAGAAAGAAGAAGAAGAAAAAAAAGAATTTTGGAAAGAGCCCTAAGGGGCTTCGTTACAAATCAATAGAAACAAAAAGGTACTCACAAGGGTACTGAGGGAAGAATGAGAAAAATAGTTTGTTTTTTTTGTTTTTTTTTTTTTTTTTAAGACGGAGTCTTGCTCTTGTCGCTCAGGCTGGAGTACAGTGGCGTGATCTCGGCTGGCTGCAACCTTCGCCTCCAGGTGTTCAAGCGATTCTCGTGCCTCAGCCTCCCAAACAGCTGGAACTACAGGTGCACACCATCACGCCCGGCTAATTTTTGTATTTTAATAGAGACTGGGTTTCGTCATGTTGGTCAGGCTGGTCTCGAACTCCTGACCTCAGGTGATGCACGTTGGCTGTTGAATTTGGTTTGAGGTTTCCCGTTTTCTACCCAGAAACCAAGAAACCAGGGGTGTCTGAAGCCTCTGGGAGCAGAAATCTCAGGGAAAGGTCAGGCCCCACCCCGGCTGCACTAGGAGGAGCTGCAACGCTAGGGCGGGAGCGTCTCGGGCCTGGGAGGACGGGCGGGGCGGGCGGGGCGCAGATCCCGGAAGTCCCGCCCACGGAGCGTCTGACCTCGGGCATTTCTCTGAGTGCGAAGTGTTATTTTGGCGGGCGGTTGTGACGTCACGAGCCCATGTCCGGTGGCTGCTGCTCTACTGCATCGAATAGGGCCTTTGGCTGAGTAAGAGGGACAGGGGCGCGGAGCTCCGGGAAAGTGCGCAAGGCGGCCGAAAGCTGAACGCTGGAGTCCCTCATCGCCCCCGCAGCTGCAGTAAAGCGAAGTCCTGCTGCAGCCGGAGCCCGGGGTTCCTCCTGGAGCCGCGTCTGGGGGCCGAGCTGCTCCTAGCTGAGCAGAGCATCCTCACCGGGCGAGGGGAGGAGGGGACTTGGCGCGTTCCACTCGCTGCACCCAGAGCTGCAGCCGGAGGTGTTCAGGCCTCGGAGCAGCCAGGCTCCTCTGACGAAAACCTGGATTTATTTGCTCGCCGGACGTTTGCCTTAAAAAAATGGACAAAGACACAGCCCTCCAGGGATTCCTGTTTGCTGGACCCAAAGAGCGCCTTTTTGCTTCAAGACGT